GGGTGTTGACGCAGCGCTGCTCGCAGCCGCCGTTATTGGGACGCGAGCACTCGTCCACCTCTGGGCAGGGGCAGCGGGGCTGAGCGGGCAGGCAGGGCTGCCAGGCCCCCGGTGTCCCCCCCGGCGCATCTCCTACCTTTGAAGAAGTTGACGGCGAAGCCCGCCTTGTTGATGGAGCCGTCGGAGACGAATTTCATCCAGAGCTTGTTGGAGGTGCTCTTGATGTCGTCTGGCTTGTCGTAGCCGCAGTAGCGCCCGATGAGGCTGCTCGACTCGCTGCTGCCGTCCCGGATCTCCAGGTAGTCGTAGGCGCAGCTATCGTGCCGCTCAATCTGTGGGAGGGTGGGTGTTAGCAGAGGGGGACGCCGTCTTGGCCCCAGCATCCCCAAACCCTGCCTGCCCCTTTCCTTACACCCGCGCTCCCAGACCCACGCACCAGCCAAGGTCTGCTGCGTGGGGAAACTGAGGCACGGAGGCAGGGGGATGCGGGCAGCCAGGCAAGGCAGCAACAGCCCCTCTGCAGCCCCAAGCCTGTCTCATGGGGTGCATTGGGTCGGGGAGATGCTGCTGGGGAGGGAAGGGACCGGCACGGCGGGGGGCGGGGATGCTCGCCCACCTCAAAGGACTGGAAGGTCAAGCCCACGTGGAAGCCCTCGGAGACGGTGATCTTCCAGACACACACCTTGCTGGGCCGGTAGTCATCGGGGTAGTTGGGGGACTGGATGTGCCCGTTGTCCTTCTTCACGTCCCCCCCGCAGATAGCTGGAAGGGAGGGGAAGCTGCCTGAGCCCCCCCTTGCCCCGCTGCCGGCCCCGCGCCCCCTCCCTGCCCGTCCCTACCTTCGTAGACGGCGAAGAAGCCTTTGCCCACCCAGTTGCTGCTGCTCCGAAACTCGACCCAGAGGCGGCTGTCGGTGGAGATGATGGGCTCGGGCAGCTTGTTCCCGCAGAACCTGCCTGGGGACGAAGGCGTGCTGGGCTGCCGCTGGCCGGGCACCCTCCTCTCCCTTGTCACCATGTCCCGGTCCCCCCTGCGCCCCCCGCCAGCATCCTAAAAGGAAAGTGCTGCTTCTCCCCCTGCTTCCCTCCGGCTTTTCTGGCTGTTTCACAGAAACTGGTTATTTCAGAGTGCAGGGTCAACTGGGACTTGGGGAACATCCAGTTCGTGGGGATGGGACTGAGATACTGGTGTCTCCCTGGGGAGAGATGTGCTGGCCAGCCAGACTGATTTCACTGGTGTGGGCCAGCAAACTGGGAGCCCCATTCACCCCAATAACCCCTCTGGGGCCAGCCCCCCCACCCCAAGGGCTTTGGCACATCGCCGTCAGGCAGGGATACAGGCAGAGGGGAGCCCCTCGCCCCGCTGCCTGCACCTGGGGCAGGAGGTGAGGGCAGCGGGCAGGCAGCGGGGCAGGCAGTGCCAGCCGGCCAGGCTAAGAGCTCCCGGTTGGTTACCTCGCAGCGTGGCCTTTCTCCAGAACCCGTCTCTCACCTCCACGTAGTCGTACCAGCACAGCCGGCTTCGGTAGAGGTCCAGGGTGGTGAAGTTCAGGATGATCTAAGGTTGGGGGGGGAAAGAGCGTGGGGTGAGCCCCCCCCATGCCCCGCGGGATCTCCGTCTGCCGGAGCGCGGCGCTCAGCCACGCCGGGTGCCAGCAGTCCAGATGGCACCCGGACCTGCTCTGTGGTGATGCCCAGCAGCATCCCGAACCACAGCGAGGCACCGGGTGGGGGGAGGGATGCTGGGGTTAGGGGTACCCTGAAAAAAGGGTAGAAGATGGGACAAGGGGGGAGAGGAGGGCTGGGAGAAGATGGGGTGACTTTGGTGCTGCGCTGCCGGCCGGTACCTTCTCTCCGGGGGTGACAGAGATCCTCCAGACGCAGTGCATGTGGGCAGAGTATCCGTTGGGGAACTCAGGGGAGGAGAAGTTGCCCTGGCTGTCCTGGAGCGTCTCCCCACAGGCTGCGAAGGGGGAAAAGCGGGGGTCAGACCCCTGGGAAGCCCCCCGGCATTGGGATGGGCAGCATTGGATTCAGACCAGCCACTGCCCCCAGCCCCTTGCGCCCTTTTACCACCCACATTCCCGGCCCCGAGGACAGCTCTGCAAAAAACCCACCACCACTGCCTTGCTGCAGCAACCCCAAAAAGCCCCAAACCACATCGGAGCGGCTGGCGATGCTCCCGGCTCCCCGGTACCCCCTCGTAAGCACCCGTGCCCCCTGCCCGGCCACCAAGCCCCAGGGACAGGAGCCGTCCCATGGCCCCCCTGTGCCCTGCGACGCCGCGGGGGCCCGGCTCGCCGCCCGGGCTCTGGGCAGGTTTACACGGCCATGGCTGGATCCGGCCCAGCGCTGCCATCTGGAAGCCACATGATGCCGCGGCCACGGCACACGGCGCTTCGCTCCGGCTGTCGCGGGGCCAAGGCGGCCGCCCCCCACCTCCCGCTCGGGGGGAGGCTGCGAGATGAAAGGTGAAACGTTAAAAAAAGGCGGCTTGAAACCTGGGCTCGCTGCCTTTTTTCCCTCCTTGCTTTACAGTGGAAACAAAAGGAAGGGAAAGCCAGGCTGCAGAGGGGCTTTTGGGGGGGGGGCTTTTCCCTCCCCTCCAAACTAATCACTTTTCCTGCTCACACTCACAGCCCCGCTCCCCTGCAGCCCCCGAACGCGGCACGGCCGGCTGCCGGGGCCCCTCACAAAGCCTTCCCTCTTCCAGGCTGCTAATTAGTTGCTGGAATTAAGCAGAAGCGCGGTGGAGCCAAACTCCTTGCAGATGTTGCTGGTACAGTCCCGGAGCACGTGCCTGCAGCCGGGGGACTTGTGCCAACCTCCCCAGCGCCCGGAGCAATGCCACTGCTCGTGGGCCACGGTCCTCAGCGCCATTCGAGATGCCAACATGTGCGCCGGTCGTGCTGAGCATCCCTGGCTCTGCACCAGCCCCGGGGAGAACCGTGGTCTGCGATGGGACCGTGCTCTCCCATCCTGCTGGTAACAGCCCTGCGTAATGCCCGGCCATGCCTCATCCAAAACCCTCCTGCTGTCGGGGCGGCTCGGAGGATGCTCTTGGAGGATGGTCTCCGAGGATGCTTTGCTCTGAGGATGCTTCGCTCTTGGAGAATGCTCTGCTGTCAGAGGATGCTCTCCGGGGATGCTCTGCTCCTCTAGGATGCCCTTGGAGGATGCTTTTTGGGGGATGCTCTTGGAGGGATGCTCTTTTCTCGGAGGAGAGGGCAGCTGAGGATGTCCTTGCTCACACGGGCAGAGCCCGGTGGCTTATCGCAGTCTTCCATTTAGCTTCTGCTCACAAACACCCCAGAAAAGCGCCATGGATGGAGAAAGGCAACTTGCGTGCTCCTTGCAGGGGGTCTGATGGCAAGGAGGACCCCAAAGAGCGTTTTTTCCACTGGAAACAGGATCCAGCCAGGGCGATGCTTCTTTTGTCAAGTCTCGGGATGAAAGCAGAGTCGCTCCCCGGGAGATACGGCCTTGTGCATGCTCACGCCAGGCTGATCAGCCCGGCGGCCGCTCCAGCCCCCCGGCAGTGACACACGGCCCCGGCCCAGGGCCCGGCAGAGCCGTCCCAGCGGCACTCACCCGGGCAGCGGTAGAGCTTGCGAGCCTGGGCGATGTCCCCTTTGCTCAGACGTGTCCGCTGGCCGATGGCAGGCCGGACCCCGTTCACATCGTACTTGGGCAGGATGGTGTCGAGGAAGATGCCCCTGGGGCGAGAGCAGGGAGAGGCTGAGCAGCGTCTGGAAAGCACCGGGTCTGCGGCTGCTCCTCGCTGCTGGGGGAAGGATGCTAAAAACAGCCTGGCTAATTAAAGCCTGCAGGCCGGTGAGTCAGCGGGGACGTGTCCCCGACGGAGGTGACCGCGGGGACAGCACCGTCCCTGCCCTGGAAAGGGATGCCGTAGGGCTTCATGGCTGCAGCATGGCTCTGCCAGAGCTGTGAGCCTTGCACCAAGTGCATTAACCCCGTGCAGAGCTGCTAACATGCCACCATCCTCCGGGGCTGGGGACCCCGTGCCACCATCCCCAGGGCTGCGGGGAGGATGGGGACGCGCGGGCGAGCCACCCCAGCCGTGTACCTGGAGAAGGTGTTCCTGGCGTAGTGCATGATGCTGTCGAAATCGTACGTCTCGCCCAGCGACTCCACCTCCTCTGGCTCCATCTTCAAGAAGTTGTACTCCTGCCCTGCAAGAGGCAGGCGGGATGGGGACAACGTCAGTGGGGAACCTGGCTTCAGCAGCAGCCCATGGCAGGGAGGAGGAGGAGGAGGAGGAGGGAGGCCGGTCCCTACCTGGCTGGATGTTCTCCCGGATGATGGAGACATGGTCATCCCGGTCAGGACGCGTGTGCTCATGCCAAAACCCGATGACGTGGCCCAGCTCGTGCACCACGATGCCAAATTTGTCACAGTTTTTGCCGATGGAGATGGCCTGGGGTCCCCCTCCTCGGCGGCCCACATAGGAACAGCACCTGGGGGGGAGGTGGGTGGCACCGGCTGAGCCCCGGCTCTCCGGGGGGATGCCCCTGCAGTGTGGGCATCCCGGTGCTTCCCTGGTTAAAGACATGAGTCAGGCCAGGAGCATCAGCCCCCCTGGTCCTGCTCGGCATGGAGCATCTGGGAAGCATCCCTGCTGCCTCGGCTGGCAGCCGCCCTGCCCACGCGGGGAGCTTGAGCTGTGCCTCCAACCTCAGCTCCTGCCCCCGGGCTGCCTGGCATGGCGTGGCACGGCACGGCCTGGCATGGCGTGGCACGGCACGGCGTGGCACGGCATGGCATGGCACGGCACGGCACAGCACCCCAGGATGCTGCTCCCATGGGTGCCCGTCCCCCAGTCCTGCACCATGGATGGACTCTCGCCCATGCCCGGCAGCTTGGCTGGTCCAACCCTGCGTGCCAGATCCAGGCTCAGGGCTTGCACCGGCGCAGGGGCGCGGACTGGCACCCCCTGCCATCGTGCACAGCCCATTCCAGGGGAAAGCCTCCTCCTAACCACCATCTGCTTGGCTGGGGCTGTGCCCTGACGCGTGAAGACGCTGATCTCTTCCAAACCCCTGTTTCCTTTGGGGTCAGCCCTGCTGCAAGCCTGGGCGGGTGCCATGCCACCGACCTCAGCCCCCAGCCCGCGGCGGCGAGTGCCACAGGTCGGCAACTCTGGGACCTCCTGTACCGCAATCACCCACGGGGATCAGACCCCAGGGACGGGTTCCCTTCGCGCCCCAGCCCTCCACGAAACCAAGCGGCTCTGGACCAGCTGGTTAGCACCATGCACACCCCGATGTGGGCATTCTGGTGCCAAGGCACATCAGCCAAGCATCCTAATTAGCACTCCCACAAGCTGCCACGCTCCCTCTTTGCAATACAAGAGCCGAGGGGCAGGGTGGTCCCGGTGCATGCCTGGGACCCCCGCCACATACCCGCAGGGGCGGTAGGTGAAGACGATGTAGCTGTCCTCGTCGTTGCGCTCCAGGAAGGTGACGCAGGTGTGCTTCTCCCAGTGCCGCATCGCCTGCCGGAAGATGGCTCGCTGGCTGCCTGCAGGAGGGGGCGGCGGGGGCCGTCAGCCCAGCATGGGGAAACTGAGGCACATCGGGGACGGAGCAACCCCCCCCGGCTCGCCTGCACTCACCGCTGAAGTTGCCGCTGATAAAAAAAAGGGCCCGGGCGGGGTGGTGGGTGGCCCGGCCGCGGGCTGGCGCTGGTGGCGTGGCTGCCTGCGGGGAGTGGGGTGGTGAGTGCGGGCAGCCTCCGGGGATGGAGGCATCCCGGAGGGCCGGGACCGCGGTGGTACCTGAGGAGTTGGTGGGCAGGCGTGTGATGGTGTGGCGTGCCAGGTCCACCACCCGGTCCACCTGGAAGAGCTGCAGGTCCTCCTCATCCAGGGCGATGTCTCCCAGGAAGGCAGCTGGTGGGGGCGGGGGGGGGGAAAGGTGTGAGCCCCCCATGCCTATGCTGGGGGACCCCAAAGCCCATCGGGGCTGGGGTCCCCGTGCCCAGCCTCTCCCCAGCCCCTCCGCACCTGGCAAGCCCCTGAAGAGGAAGGCAAGCCCTTCCTCCCCCTCCCTCTTTCCTTCAACTGGGGGCCGGGAGGGAAAGCAAGCGTGGTGCCGGCCGGGCTCCCCCTGCTCCCCAGCCCGCTGCCATGTTGGCTCTCCCAGCAGCTGGAGCCAGCCCCGCACTGACATCTGGTTTGCATAAAGCCCGGTCCATCACTTTTTAGGGTTTCTGTTATTATTTGTGTTGCAAAACTGCTTTCTTTCCACTTTGCAAAACCCAGCGCTGGGCTCAGGACTCCCTTCTTGCCCGGCTCCTGACCCCCAGCCCGGTGCAAGCTCCAACAGCCCCGGGATGCTCCAACGACCTCCGAGTCATCTGCCACCGCGAAGCAAAGCCATATGGCCCGGGAAGCTCCCGCTGTGCCCAGTGCCCGCAGGAACGGAGCCGGCCGAGGGGCGTCCGTCTGTCCGTCCGTCTGCCGGGCCCATGAGCCCCTCCAGCACCGCTCTGCCACGGCTCCTGCGGTGCTGGGGGTGCAGAGATGCTTCAGCATTATGGGGCTGGAGGACATAACCCTGCACAGCCCTTCCTCTTCTTCCTCCTCTTCCTCCTCCTTTTCCTCCTGCCCTGCTCTCTGCCCTCCCGCGCACCACGGCCTTGCCGTGAGTCAACGCTGCAGGATGCGGCTCCCGGCTTCGGCTCTTGGCCGGCGCTGAGCCTCGGGGACCCGGCTTTTGCGGAAACGCCGTGGCCCAAGCGCAAGGGCTGGCTGAGATCATGCCGCACCGCTGCGCCAGCGCCGGCACAGAGGCTCTGGATGCGGCCGGCGTGGGGTGGAGCTGGGTTTCTCGAAGGGTTTGTGGGCACCTGGGGTGAAGGGGTGGCCCTGGGCACCCCCCGTCCTCACCAGCCCCTGGGGAAGGGCAGGGAAATGGCAGCGGTGGGGAGTGGGGTGGCTGGACCAGCTCAGGGGCTGCTGGAGAGCAGTGCCAAGTTCGCGCTCCAAGCAATTAGCAAGTGGATCCCAAAAGAGCCACTAATTACAAAAGCAAGGCAGGACAATTAGGATAACCCTGACAAGTCCAAAACAACCAGCACGGGGCGAGAGGACCAGCCCAGGCACCCCAGCCTGACCGGACCCTGCGCCTTTGCATGGCACCGAGCCCAAACCCCTCTCCAGCGGTGGTGTGGAGCGTTTTGGGGTGAAAGAGCCGCATTTCAGGGCTGTCCCCGGCACCGGCCAGCCGGTGGGCGCATCCCAGTCGAGGAAGCCCCGGGGTGGAGAGCAGACCTGCGGCAAAGCCAAGGGAAGAGCAAACAAGCTGGGGCCGGCACCTCCCCTGGCACTGACCTGCCGCTGGCACGGCCAGGCTGCAATTTGAGGGCAGAGCATTGGGGGGCAGAGCAGAGGCGGGAGCCGGCCCTGGCCTCCCCGCACCCTTCCCGGGGCCGGGAGAGACGTGTCCGAACGGGCAGCGCGGGGGAGGACCAGGGCCGGGGAGAAGGACGAGAGTCCCGTGCCAAGAGCTGCATGGAAAGACAAGGGAAAGTAAGCTCGCTTACAGCCGAGCAAGCGCCGGCAGAGCCAAGTGATATAGAAACCATATGTGAGGGATTTGGGATACGTGAGAGAGCCGGGCAGGCGAGCGTGGGGACGTGGGGCTGGTTTCCCAGGCGGTGCAAGGCAGCTCAGCTCCCCCAAAAATCCCCAGCCCTGGGGGAAGGTGGCTCGCTGCTCCTGGAGGGGAGACGGGAGCCGTGAAGCGGCGGCAAGGGGGTGTCCCGGCAGCGATCCCTGTAAGGACACGCTGGGGACAAGCCCAAAGCGTTGGATTGAGAAACTTCCACGTTGGTTTGGGCTCTGTTTGTGGCCTCCTCCCACTCGCTCCCTGTGCACCCTGGCCCCGGTGACACATGGGGTGGTTTGGGGGGGTCTCTGCTCACCAAAATCCCCCAGATGCCGTTAACCTCCCCGAGGGGCCTCGTCGGAGACGCTGCCGTGCTCCTGCCGCTTGTCCCTTCCTGGTTTGTGCCGCAGCAGCTCGCCAAGCAAGCACCCTCCCTCCAAGGTGGGGGGGACCCCCTGCAAGCGAAGGGGACCTCCCGCAAGCGGGGGGCTCACGGGGCGAAGGTGCTGTGCCGGGGGCAGGAGAGGTGCCAGCTCGCTGCTGCGGGTGGCAAGGAGCTGCCGAGGCTCAGCAGAGCCCAGGTCGGAGCAGGGGGAAATGCACCGGGAAGCGGGGCTGGGCTGCAGCAGGGAGGTGCCAGCCCGGCTTCGTGCTCACCGGGGTGCAGACAGCACCCACCGAGGCGTCACACCTCTCAGCACCCATGCCCTGCAACCTGCACCCTCACTCCGCCGGGGCATGGTGCCACTCGGGTGCCCAAGAGAGCCCAGGCCACGGGGCACGGCTCCCCAGCCATCCCCAGAGGGGACCCAGTGCCCCCGTGCCGTTCCCAGCCCGGGAGGCTGTGGGCTGTGCCGCAGGGGCTGCCCTCTGCTCACCCCAGCGCTGGCCGTCGAGGCACCAGGGGCAAGGTCCAAGCCGCGGCAGTGCCAGCGGGGACGATGCGGTGCCAGCAGGACACACAGGGCAGGCACCAGCCACGGGGGCATGATGGCCCCATCCTCGTCCCCATCGGCCAGAGGGGAACGGGGACGGGAGCGGGAAAGGGGAGAGGGGGAGTGTCCGGGCACTGGCCATGCACATCCCTCCCACCACCCAGAAAACAACCCAGCTGTTTGGGACCTGCCGGCGAGGATCCCACCGAGCTCTTCCTCACCCAGAAGCCAGGAGATAACTCAGCCCTCTGCTGTTGTTTGACTTTTTGTGCTATGTGTTTTCTTTTGGGTTCTTGGAACGGTGACGTAACCCCCGGGGCTGAAGCTTTAGACAAACAAGGTTTTTCATTCGGACCCGGGCCAACCCCTGCAGCACCCTGTCCTGATGCTACAGGCATCTCCTGCCCACGCACGGCTCGGTGGCTGTCCCTGCGGGGTCCCTCTGTCCCCTCTGCCATGGCACGCTAGGGATGCAGGAACTGCTCAGCATCCTTCATACTCCCGGGCAAGGCGAGCAGCGGAGGGGCGTACCCGTGGGCCTGACCTCTCCGGCATCACCGGGATTTCAGGATGAGCCTGACCTCGGACTCCACCGGAACCGTGTTGCAGGAAAAAAAAAAAAATAACCCGGGGGAAGAGGCTGGGGCGCGAACGCGATGTTCTGGTGAGCAGGCAAAAGCAAACAGAGCGGTGGGGAAGCCTTGGCAGGGGAGGGCAGCAGATAAACAGAACGGGATCATGTTCTAGGTCAGTCTGGGGCAAATCAGTCTCCATGCATGGCGCCGGACGGGAAGGACCCTCATCCCTGCGTGGCTCACGCCGGCCCTCAAAGCGGCACCGGGGCTGGACAGGCTCCCGTGGTTCCGGCAGGACGGGCAGCATCCCCTGCCTGAGAGCAAAGGCTCAGCCCAGCCTTCCCTCACCAGCTTAGCAGCTCCAGCCCAGCCGCTGCAAGTCCTCGTGTGATGCTGAGCCGTGAGCATTGCTCCCGGTGTGAATCCGGGAGCAGAGGGCAGGGTTCAGAGCACGCGAGGAGGCAGGGAGCGAGCCGCTCTGCCCTGGCCAGAGACGGAGGCATCGCCGGGGCGGGATGGAGGAGAGCGGTTTAATAGGTGCATCCCGGCCTCGGCGGAGCTGCCGGGTCGTAAAGCCGTGGAGTCACCGGGGCAGCATCCCACTGGCTCGGCAGAGCCGTTAAATATGTGAGGAATGCTCCTCGCGCCGCCTCCTCGCCCCCGCACGCCAGCCCAGCTGCACCCGCTGCGAGCTCCGCTCACGGCAAAACACGCCGGGGCCACAGCGAGAAGAGCGGGCACCCCACTCACCCGGGGCTGGGGGGTCCCCACCTTGGCCTTGGGGGTCTGCCCTGCCCAGAGAGCCCTGGGACAGAGGCGTGGGTGCAAAGGCGGAGGGATGCAGAGCATCCCAGGGGCCATCGGGACGAGGGGAGCAGCCTCCCGCTGCTGCTGCCTCCTGCCGAGGTCCCCCCAGGTGCCAGGTCTCCCCCTGCTCCCCTCAGCCCGCCAGCGGCTGGTGGCCCTGCAGAGAGCCCGAGGACAGCAGAGGCAGGACAGAGGCACGCAGCAGAGGTGAGCTGGGCCCTCTCCTCTCCCCCGGCGGCGGCACAGCCCCTCTCCCGGTGCCCCTCGCCGGCAGCCGGAGAGAGGGAGCAGCCAGCCTGTAAATGCCGGGGCGAGGAATATTTGCTTTCCCAGAGCACCTTCCGACGAGCGCAGCAGGCACAAAGCAGGAATTCAAACCTCGGCGGCCAGGCTGGGAGCCAGGCCAGATCGCAGCTCCTCTGCAACCAGTAGGGAAACTGAGGCACGGGGGAACAGAGCCGGTCAGCATCAAGGGGCAACCCCCTGAAGAGCCAGTCCTGGCACAGAGCCGCTCTGCTATCGGTCACTGTCCCTGCAGGCAGCCTGCAGGCAGCTGGGCCCCCCTGCCTGCTGTTTCCTCGCTGGCGTATCCTTGTCCCAGCCGGTGCCTTTGCAAGACCCGGAGCTGTACCAGCACCGGGCACCCTCCTGCCGGCAGCGCTGCCCTCCTCTCCCCAGGGTGCGGGCAGAAAGCAGCATCCAGGCAGCCGGGGAAGACAGAGATGCTAAAGTACACCGTCCAAGGCGGAGGGATGATCCCTCTCCCCAATTTCCCTCCCGTCTCCCCTGTGCATCCCTCTGCGGTGCAAGGTGCATCCCGCCCGGAGGCAGCACCCGTCTCCACCTCTGCTTCCCTGGGCATCCACGGCCAAATCCTCTCCCCAGCCCTGGGCATCAGCATGTGGGCTCCGAGCCCTTTGCCTGCTCCGTGCCAGGCTACGCTGCAGCATAGCGTGAAATAAGCACCGTGGAGCCTGGTCTCTAATAAAGACGGCCCGTGGCAGCAAACAGCTTCCAGCTAATGAACGTCCAGGGACAGGAGGGACGGTTTGATCCCTCCAGGGGAGGATTTTCCTTCTGCTCCTCTGCCGTGACAGCAAATAGAGGAAAAAGCCTCCTCCGGGGCTTGGCATGGAGGATGGCAAACCTAAGGCACGTCAGAGCCCCCGGGAAGGAGTGGGGGGAGTGCTGCGGAGTCGTGTGCGGGGAACGGGCTCTCCCTGCCTCCCCTCTGCAAAGCCAGGTCGCCGAGGAAAACACAGCCCGGGCCAGCGGCATCGGTAACTTGTGAAAGGGAGAGCTGCTGGAAAGGAAAATATTTGCAAATTGCTCTGCCAAGGGGACGGGGGGGTTTGTTGTTGCATTCCCCTGCGAGGAGGGGAGCCCAGCGGCAGCGGGGCGAGCGTGGGGACCGGAGCCCATTGGGAATGGGAGCCCAACGGGGATGGGAAGGCATCCCGACACCCGGCTCGGCACACGTGGGGGTAACCCAGGCTCTCCTGGCACGGGGCGGCCGCCCCGGCAGGACTGGACCCCGGCAGCGGCACTGTGCCCGTCCCTGCCACTCTATGCTGGCTCTGCCAAGGGGCACGGGCTCCCAAGGGCTCCCAGACCTCTGTGCCTCTGCTCCAGGGCTCTGGCTGCAAACATATCCCCCCTCCTCGTGCTTTTATTGCTCAATCCTCTCCCCACCAGCCCTCCCCACGCACCGATTAACTCCTTCCAAAGTTTGCTCGCAGCTCCCTGGCCGAGCTGTTTAAATCCTCCTGCAGCTCGAGAGAAGGGGGGATTTTCTCATTGCCTTTTGCACGTGTATGGAGGGAGGTTTGCCACGCAAAGCCCCCCTGGGTAGACGGGACAGCGGTGACCGACAGCCTTCCTGCAGCCCTTGGCCAGGTTATAAGCGGGACACGCACTCTCCGCAGCTCAGCGGGATGCAGTGGGATGCTGTTTTCTCTCCCCGCCACGATGCCGGAGACCTCCAGGGACCCTCGGAAAAGCCACAGGCAACCAGGAGGGCACGTTCTCACCCAGAAAACACTCCCCACAGCACAGCCACTATGAAAACTTTGGGGAAAACCACCCGTGAGCCACCCTCTCTCCTTCTCCCGTATCCCTCCCGGCTGCTTTGTTCTCCCCAGGTCCGGCCGCGGCTCCCCAAGGCCGCCCCGTCCCGCCGGCCCTGTGTTTCCCAGCCCCCGCACGGCAGC